AAACCCATCTGCCTTCTCAATCAACTCTTCCACAGGAAGGGCAGCTATGCTTGCATCCTTGTCTTGACCTAGCAAAGAAGCAGATGGATACATGTTTGTTCCCATTCCTAATCTGCGGCCAGTTTCCTTTGCGATTGCAAGTTGATCACCTGGACAGAAACAAAAAAGTATTAACTGCGTAAGTGCCTAAAAGAACTAAGAACTAGTGACAAAATTGTCAATAGATGAACTCTTGAAAGGATTTAAGTACCAGTGATCATCTTGACATTCACACCGAGATTAAGAGCTCTGCGAATAGTTTCTGCACTGTCATGCCTTGGAGGATCAAACAGAGGCAACAAACCAACAAATTGCCATGGACTACCAGGACTTTCTTTTGTTTTTTCTGGTACTGTCTGGAGATATAGGAAATGAACACGAGTAAGTTAACTTTTAAATATTGAAATAATAGAATATATGATATAAAACATCATGATTTCTAGAATATAAACCTGTCTGGCAACAGCTAATGACCGAAGCCCACGCTCAGCAAACTTGTCAATGATCGAATGAACCCTCTTCTTAAGATCCTCCTTTGCATTGCAAAGGGCCAAGATCTGTCAACAGAAGAAATAATTAAGACATTTAAAGCCCCATAAATTTGACTATACTAATGCATTATTCATATCAAAGCTGAATCCTAATAACAATTAACAAGATTACCTGTTCAGGAGCACCTTTGCTGGCTCGGTGCCAATTGCCATTGGAATCAATGTAAGTCAAAGCTGTTCTCTTGTCGACAGGATTGAAAGGTAAGAAGTGCATCTCTCTAATACCAGCTCTTGCCTGTGTAAAGAGAATATTGAACACAAATACTCATCTAAGTGCCTTTCCCTATTCATTTTAAGCCTTTTAGCAGAAAAAAGAAACAAAGTGGAAGAGGGAAGAAATGGCTATACCTCCTTAGGGTCAGCAAGCATTCCAACAATGGCAGCATCAATGGCATCTTGATTTTCTGTTCTAGAGGCCCTTGCAGCAAGCAGGACAACATGCTCCTTATCCACATCCTTTACAAACACCTCAATCAAGTTTTTATCAACACTCAGCTTGTTGAGTGTCAATGTTCCTGTCTTATCACTACAGAGGACATCCATACCAGCCATTTCTTCAATGGCAGTCATACGCTTGGTGATGGCACCCTGCTGAGACAGCCTGTGAGATCCAATGGCCATGGTCACAGACAACACAGTGGGCATAGCAATTGGAATACCACCAATCAATAGAACCAAGAGATTGTCAATTCCATCCCTATACTTGCGGTGCTGAATTGGATACATGACTATGATCTCAACCAACATACCAACCGCAATGGAACAAATACAGAAGTTTCCAATAGAAGTGAGCACCTTTTGGAAGTGTCCTACTTGGTTGGTGCTATCGACAAGATGTGCAGCCTTCCCGAAGAAGGTATGAACACCAGTAGCAATAACAACAGCTTCAATTTCACCCTGTTTGCAAGTTGAACCCGAAAAGACTTCATCCCCTGGATTCTTGGTCACAGGAAGTGATTCTCCTGTCAGGGCAGACTGATCAACCTTCAAAGGATCACCTTCAAGAAGACGGGCATCAGCGGGGATGATATCTCCCAATTTAATGCTGATGATGTCTCCTGGAACCAGAATTGCTGCTTCTTGCTCACTCCATTTGCCATCCCTAAGCACCTATATTCGGGATCAATTTCATTGGATATAACTAGCCATCATCAGTACATCCGCCATGTAAAAAAGTATATACATCCAGAATTTTATTCTGTTACATAAGCGAAGGACATTTAAGATATTGATTGTTACCTTGGTTTTCGGAGCAAGACCAGCCATAAGAGCAGCTGCGGCATTGCCGGCATTGTTTTCTTCAATGAAACTGATGGTAGAGTTAATAACCAACAGACAAACAATACCAACAAAGTCTTGCCAATCTGGGGGCTTCCCATCACCATTAGCCAAAGCAATGGCCATGATGGCTGCAGCTTCCATTACCCATGATAGGGGATTCCACATGAACCCCAAAAACTTGAGAATTTTGCTTTCCTGGTCATTTAAAAATATAACAATATTATTCCAACTAATCAAAAGTAAAATTACCATAGTCTCTACATAATTTCTTGACCAATATATGTATTATATGTCATAAGCATAATAATAATACCTTCTTCTCTTCTAGCTTGTTGGGTCCAAAAATCTGAAGCCTGTTGGCTCCCTCTTCCGCGCTCAAACCTTCTCTGGTACATTTCAGCTGCTCAAACACTTCCTCAATAGGGATTTTTTCCTGTCAAACAAACAATTCCAGTGAATTTGAGATTTCCATCCATTATATATGAATTTTCATTTTTATTTGTAGAATGGGATCAAGGAAGCTCCAAAAGCTGGGATTCAAACCCCAACTTGGTAGCAAATTCACCACCAAAGGAAATGATTGGTGAATTAAGTATAGTTGTTTGGTAATAAATCCAACTTTTTTTCTTTGGTGAGTGAATATTACCAAAAAAAAAGGTCAAAAAAATCCAACTATTTTATTAACTATTATTATTATTGCTATAAATCTGAAAGTAGTAATTATTTGCATCAGATAAACCTTTGATCTTGGTCCAAAATTTTGTGCAGATTATTAGTTACTACTACAACATAGTACTTTGCTGAGGTTGACAGGGCAACTGGGTCAGGTGTACCGAGTGGATTCATGACTCAGTGACTCGGGGCCTAGGGATGCTACCCAATGAAATAAAAGCGTTGACTCAAGCCATGACAAGATCAAAAAGTGCCTTGTCAGAAGGTGGGGACAGTCCCCACCTTTTCCCCATGTGATTGGTACGTGTAATCCACGCTCCACGCCAAGTACAGTGTATATGTCAAAAATTTTATTTATTTTTATATGGTAAAAAAATTACTCATTAGATTTATTACCAACTTCGGTGAAGAATATTTAAGAAATTAAAAAAATATAAAAAACAGAAGGATTTGATGAATCCAAGACAAAGGCAGGTGGTGTCAGGGCCGTTGAATGTGAAAGAGGAATTTTATTTTTATCTTTAAAAGAAAAACGAAAACAAAAGGGAAAATTTTTATTTCTAAAGAAAAGGGAAAAGGCAAAGGTACCACGGAAAAGTACCTAAATTCCCAAAAATAAAACAAGCAGACCACTTTGAATTTAAACACAAAGACAAAACAGTTAATATAAAAATGCTAGGCAAAAATGTTCTATTGTTCTGATAAAAAAAATGTTCTATTGAAACGTAACGTGAGCAACTGCAACTGTGTCTTTGTCACTCCCTTCCCTTCCCTTGTAGATCCAAATTTTAGAGATTATTACTTTCAGGGTCTGTTTGGTTAGAGAGAAAGTAAAAGGCGAGAAAATAATACTAGTAGTCATGTGTAGTTGGCTTTGGGTCCGTTGATTTGACTTTTTTGGGTTCAGAGTTGGGATCAGTTACCTTACCCTTAATCAAAGGGTGAAAGGGCTTTGACTTAGAGAAAGAAAGAGGGGTAAAAATTCTTTCTTTCATTATCAGAAAACTTTTCTTGGTAAAATGACTAGGAAAATTCCTTTAAGCTACCATTTGCAGAACTGATCTCAGCTTATAGTAAAAGGGAAGTAAGGGAAGGACAGACCAAAAAGAGAACCCAAAAAACGAGGAAAACATTATTATTATTACATAATACATACATAGGTAAATATATGCACAAAAAGCAGAACCCCCAAAGATCTCATTAAAGAAACACAAAAACATGGCAAAAGAAAAGAGATTTTAGATAAATGGAAGAAACCCATTTTAGTTTTTGTAATGAGGAAGAAATGAACATGCAAAAAGTAGACATGGAAAATATGAATACCAGATCAACAGTCTCGTTCTTGATCTCCTCAAGACTGATAGCTTTGTCGCCACCCATGTTTGGTTTTGGAGGGCCAACACCACCACCACAACCACCACCACAGCAGCAGAGAAGGGTACTCAAGCAGAATTAATAAGTGCTTAGAATGAAGGAATCAATGAAGAGAGAGTGAGAAAGTAAAGACCATTGAATGAGATTTTCAGTATCCCAAGAAAACCCCAGAAAAGGGTTGTTGGATTGGGGAAGGGATAGAAGAGAGAGCTTTGTGCTTTTATTTTTCTCTTCTGCAGAAGGCTGAAAGCCTCCCTTTTTATACACAGCAGCTCTCAATTTCTCAACAACGGAAAGAGAGAGGCATTCCTCCTCATTATCATACACAGTACATAAGTAATTAATTTAATATATAAGTAATAATTAAAAAACCATTGTGAGGTTTCCCCCGCCGTTTAACCCTTTTAGTGGGACCCTTTAATTGGTTTGCCCTTGCCCTGGCCTTTGCCCTTTTTACTTCATTTTTTTTTTATTCTCTCTCCTTTTACCGGTGAGTTGTCGGTTAATCTATGGATGTATGGATGAATGCATCATCATCATCATCATGAATCATGGAATTTTATCATCATCATGTCATGCCTCCAACTAAGTCATAACTTTAACTTAAGTACATTTTCCTTCACATCCATAAATAACACATTTTGGGATTTTTCTTTTCTTTTTGTAAGATTTTGCTTGGGACTTTAATAATTCATAGTACTGCCTATATGAAAATTTGTTGAAAGAAAAATTTCTCAAATTTTTGAAAATTTAATTTAGAAAATCATTAATTTTGTCTAAGAAAATTATTTTATTTTTGAATTATTTTCATAACATATTTTTACTGTACACTACCAAAATTACTAAAAGTTTCAATGTTCTTTTCACTGGTATTGAAATAACTAACCTAATTTTGTTTTTCCTCTATATTTTTAAGAGTTGTAACATGGTTATTTTTAAAATCCAAATTAAGCAGGTCTCTTCGTGTATAAACTCAAATCCAAATTGGAAAAAGAATGTCAGGGCAGGCTAACACACTTGTTATTACTTGATATATTAATTTTGTATACTAGATTATTCACCATGTAAGAGGATCCCCGCTAAGCATCCATGGCCGAATGGTTAAGTGCCCAACTCATAATTGGCGAATTCGTAGGTTTAATTCCTACTGGATGCACGCCAATGGGACCCTCCAATAAATAAGTCTATCTGTTAAAGGATACATATAATTACATAATTTAAAAAAAATATTTCATTTTTTCCTTTATTATATGTAATTTGTTACAAGTAATTTGTAATTGGCTCTGTATCAATGGAGAAATTATTAGGTGGGACGGACCCACCACGTCATCCATGGGATTAACCAATAGAATTTTGCCATGTTAGATGAACTCCTTAAATTTAGACATCATTTTAGTCCAAGGTTTCGCCTCCCTTTAAAACAAACCCTTTGTAAAGGGTAAGTCCCCAAATTTGAGATTTAATTGGGATATGGTATTAGAAAATTGATGAGTTGTCTTCATATTATTGGTTGGTCTCATAGATGACGTGGTAGGTCCGTCCCACCTAATAATTTCTCGTATCAATGGGTAGCAAAATTAGTATCTAGTTTACTTTTTATGAGAATCGAGATAATTATTCCATTTTGATTAGGGTCTCATTTTAATCCCTAGCAAAATTAGTACTCCCCCCTTTTCCATATGGGGTTTGTTAAACACCGCCCCTCTTTTGCTAAACACCGCTCCCCTTTTTATAATTTTTGACACTTTCGCCATTTGCTCCATTTTGTAACATTTTCAAATCCTCTAAAATCTCCAAGCTAATTACTAACGTGAAACAAGCCGAGAACTCCGGAAATGGACGATAATGTGGGTTGAGGTAAAAAATCTTTTAAAAAAAATTTTAAAAAAAAATTAAAAAA